GAGTTCAATTTGATTTGATTTGATTCGATTTGAAAAAATCAAATCAAATTCAAATTGCTTAAATATTTGATTTGATTCGATTTTGAGGAACTCTAATAGTGAATATGCTTAATTTTATCATTTTATCATATATAATAAATATTATAAAATAGGTTTTATTTATGTTAACTAGATATAGTTGGAAAATTATACATAATAATATATATTAAAAATTATATATAACTAAATGTTATTATATTGAATTATTATAATTCAATTTTTATTGAAATCAAATTAATATTAGATAATTTTTACTAAAGGAAACTGATTGTAATAACATAAAAAAAACGCTAAAATCAATTTATTATTTAGCTTTAATTGATATTTTTAGTTCAAAGCTAACTTTTATGTTATTTAAAATTTAATTATAAAACTTTTATATTATATTCTTCATAAACTAAAATATTAAATAAAATGATTAGTATAGTTTGCATAAGCATATATAGCTTTACCAAAAACTTTAAACCTAAATAATTAATATTAATAAATACTATATAAATTATATATAATTATTCAAAAAATTGATATAAGACTAACTTTTGTATTGTTTAAAATTTTATTGTGAAATTGATAAATTATATTCTTCATAACCTAAAATATTAAATTTAATTATTAATATAGTTTACACAAGTATTTATAGCATTACCATAATTTTTAAAGTCTAAAATAATAAATATATTATATAAATTATATAATTAATTATTTCAGCTTAAAATTAATTCATACATAACGTTTAATCTTTGATTTACTATTTTAAAATCATATTCTATATAATCTAAAATATTAAATTTATGTATTTGTAGAGTTTGTCTAAGCATATTTAGTGTTGCTTGAAACTTTAAAATCTAGATCAGCTAATTTTAAATAATGTGATAATTCAGTTATATATAATCAGTAAATGGTTAGTATGATGATATCAGCATATTTACTATGCCAGTAATATGCATTTGGAAGATTGGAAGCACCTTTAGAAGCACCTTTAGAAAGTTTGAAAGTATAATTTACTAATAAAATCATTTGGATTAGAAGCTTCCAATTAAATTTTTTACTATTGGAAGCATAAAATGCACATCACTGCATTATGCTATATTGGTGAACCTTAATTTCTTTATAACTTTTGAAGACTTACATTTATTTAGTTATCAGTAGTTTAATTCTAAGAAAGAAATATTAGTAAATTCTTAAACTTTATTTATTACAATATTTAACTAATATACTAACATCTTATAAAAAGAAATTACAAAACTTTTGCAAAATTTTCCAGTTAGCTTTTCATTATTTTAACTATATGAATATAGTAACTGATTTAGATAACTCAATTTAGGATTTCCTAACATATTAAACATATCTTTAAATAAAATATTTAAAGTTTTTTAAAAATATTATTTTTGAAAAAAAATAAATTATTTAAAATATTAAAGAAACCAAAATTTTATAATTTAATTTACTTAAAGCAATTTTATATAATTTAATAATTTAAATTAAATACTAAAAGTAGATTTGATAAATATTTATGAAATTAACTTAAATTAATTAAATTTAAACTGAAATTAATCAAAATTAAAATTAAAATTCAGAAATTAAATCCAAAATTAAAATTAAAAATAGCTAATCATTTTATTATTGATATATTTATTTGTAAAATAAATATATTTTTTAATATATTTAACTTTTAACATAATTTTATATAATATTTTCTTTATTATTGATATTTTTATTAAATTAATATTTCTGATTCAAAATATATATTTTATTTTATATACTTTAAACCTGCTTAAAACAAATTTAAATATATATTTTTTATCTTATCATAATTTTTTTTTAAGATATTTCAAATTTTTAATATAAATATATTTACTTCATTCTTTTAAAAAAAAAATTTTACATTTATCAATTTATTATAAAATGCAATTAATGTAATAAACTTAAACAAACAAATTACTAATTATTTCAATGCTTATATTTTGCTACCTATATCTAGTTGTAGTATTAATAAAACTTTATACTAACTATATAAATCAAGAAATAAGACGCCGAAATGATAATCGCGGGGGTAGCAGATTTTAGGGGTAGATTTTGTAAAATTTCGCAGGGAAGATCGTCCCTGACACATGTTCTATTTTACTAGCAACTTTATCTCGCGTATTAGAAATTTTTTTTTTTCACAGAAAACTAATCAATATGTTTCATTCAAGAAAGCAAAAAAAGAACGCGTCTAAGAAGAAGAATAAAAATATATCGAAAAAGTTCAATAAAACTAAGATAACAACCAAAGGCTCTTCCGTGGAAGTTAAATCGCAAGATCCAGCAGATTATTGTCTGTATCAAAGTCAATGTCGTTTAAAGGCAGCTTGGGCCAATATTATTAAACGATATAAAGACATTTCAGCCGAAGAAACTGATGTGATAGACTTGTCAACCGAAGAGGTTGTTGTTGATAGAGGCATCTTGCAAAAAGGTACTATACGATATGTTGGAACTTTATCAAATTTACACACTTCGAAATTTACACAAGACGACGCAGATGACGATACTGTTTGGCAATTAGATCCAAATTTGTATGATGATGATAATTTTGAAAAGCGAGATTCTTTAAGGAAAAGAAATAATAAACCTAACGATAAAACTGATAATATTAATATAATAAAGATGATCTTAGAAGCATCAAATGAAAATTCCAAATGTATAGAATCAGAATCTAATGAGATCTCATGTTATGAGGAATCATCAGGAAACGTGACAAATATGGAAGAAACATTCGAAACATTCGAAGTTTTTAACAACGATGATTCATATTCTAAAAAAGAATTATTAGTAACTAGAGATGAACAATTGGATTCTGAAATTGCTTTGTCTGTTGATACAACCTCATCGTCACAAAGAACAGAGAGTATTTCACAATCAGATCAAAGTCGTCTTAAAATATACAGTTTCGATACGTTTGATTCGGGACATGATTCTGAATTCTATGATTCAGATGATGAGGAAATGTGTGCACAACTGAAGAGTTTAGATTATGTTCAGCAAGACACTATAGACTTTGCTCTAAACTATTATCAAGTAGAGCCTATAGATTATTCTCAACAAGAGACGTTTCAATTCCCTCCGGTTGCACTCACTAAGGAACAGCAACGCCTTTGGTTAGGTATGTCATTATGCATTTGATTCTTGGTTTTTTCTTATTTTCTTACGTTGAAAATTTTAAATAATCAACAGAGCCGGCATCTGAAGATTATGTAGAACTATCAACTTGGACCGGAACGTATTCAGGATTTTTAAACTAGTTGAATTTTACGAGTAAATAATATCATAAAAAATTATTTGGAATTTTAAGTGATTGTAAAAAAAAAAATTGTATAAATTATTTAATTTTGTGATCGGCTCATGATCCTGTCGTACAAATGTACAATATAAATTTTCTCATTGGTTTATCTGACTATTGACCATAAAAGCTTTTTTTTTTTTTCATCTCGCACTAAAAAATTCATTGTATAGTGAATTCTTATTTTTAAATCTTCAGGAACCTTATATTAAACGCAAATAAAAAAGAAGTTTATATTTTATTTTATTTTTTTTATTTTATTTTTTTTTTGGTCTTTTGTCAGCTTTATAAAAAGTATTAAAAATGGGAGAAAATCCACAGTTTACCCAACCATGGTAAATATTTTATAAATTGTAAACTATATTTTTATATAATTAACACTCGTTTTTTTTTAGGCCTTATCCTTATGATCAAAGTCAGCAACAGTATTTGGCACCTCCTGGAACTCAAACAGCAGATTACTCTAACTATTACTCTGCTGCTGCTGCTTCTCAACCTTTTCAGTATCAAACTCAATATCAATATTCTAGCACACCTGTTGCTTATACAAACGCAGTTAATGTTTCTACTGTGTTTGGTCCTCCAGGGGTAACACCACAACCCAATCCTACAGCTTTTCAACCTAATCCACCAGGTGTAAATGCAAACACTTCGTGGTATTCTTCAGCAGCAATGTCTGCTCCCGTACCTTATCAAACTAACATTTATCCTACAGCTTCATACGATCCTAATCAATATTATCAAGCGCAAACATACTCAAATTATCAGGTTCAAGCAGCTTCGTATCCTACTTTCTCAACAGTTTCCGCACCTCCTGTTACCACTAATCCGATAATAACCCTTGGTCCTCAATCATCGTGCGTATACTTATTAATTCTTCTATTACAATTAATCGATCTTTGTTGATCTAATTTTATCATCATTGTATAGTGTTGCACCCATTGCCGAAATAATTCCCACCACAACAAACAAGATTACCACTAATAATGTTAGTCAAGGTGAAAAGCCGAATACAAACGACATTCATCAGACTGCTTCTGGTATAGCAAACTTGAACGTAAATCCCAATGATAATATTACAGGAACTGAAGATGCAAAATCAAGTAAATAATTGAGCTTATCAAAAAAAAAAAAAAAGTTGGATATCTCTATAGTAATTTGGTAATTTTTAATTAAAATAGAACCATTATACCGTTCAATAAAAACGCGAGGGAATACGAATAAATCATCTACGAAGATTAATCCGTTGCTAAGTCCGAAATCAGAACCTTCAATACAAAATCCATCAGAGTACGTTATGTCTTTCTTACTACGATAGAAAAATATATGTATAATAAACATTTTCTTTTAAAATTCTTTCGTAAATTTATAGGAAACAACCGGAGAGTCGAGAATGGCCTGAAAGTTTAAAGTAAACGTTTATTTCACCTTTTTTTCATTTTTGGAATTTTTTTTTAAGTCATTTAACATTAAATTTTTTAACAGAGATTATGTTCAGCGAAGTTTCAATGCCGCACCACATAATATTGATGCAATTGAGAATGAATTAAAAAGAATAATTACGACTAAATTATCAGAAGGCGCGTTTTATCAAACTGATTGGACAAAAGTAGAATTACCGAAAAGTTGCAGGTACGTATTAAAATTTTGTTATATTCAAATATTACACACTAATAATTGGTTATTAACAGCGTAACTAAAGAAAAGGATAATAAACGAAGATTGTAAGCATATGAAATTTGTATTGAGACTTTTTTAATTAGAAAATATTTTATGAATATGTTATTTCATGAACGTTAATTTTAACTTTTTTAGCTTTAAATCATCTAGTCGCTCTCCGGAGAGAAATTTGGTTGAAAATGATCGTGAATTTCAAAAAAGAGAAAAGCGTGCCAAACGTTTTCAAACTGATAAGAATATTAAATCATGGGGATCTCCTTCCGCAGTATGTTTATTCAAAAAAAGTTTATTATAAGGAGATAAAAATAAATAAAAATATATACATATATTTTTTTTTTTTACATATATACTTATTTTATTTTATAGGAAAACGATCCTATGATTACCGATTTGGATTATACTATTGTCGGAACCTGTCAGAATCTTGAAAAATCATATTTAAGATTGACTTCTGTGTGTACAAATATTTGGTCATCTCTCAGACATTTTCTTTTCTCTTATTTTCAGTATATTCTACAACTTAAATTATATGCCGATTTATTAGGCTCCTGATCCATCTACTGTTAGGCCTAAGCGCATATTGAAGAAGACTCTCGAATTTTTAAAAGAAAGATGGGTCAGAGAAGAGAATTATACTTATATATGTGATCAGTTCAAATCATTACGACAGGATTTAACGGTTGGTTAACTTTTCTGTCATTTACTTACTGTTTAATTTTGTATCATCTTTAATAAATATTTATAATGCATCCAAGGTTCAACGTATCCAAGATGAGTTTACTGTAAGAGTTTACGAGACACATGCTCGTATAGCGCTTGAGAAGGTTAATATTTATTATTTTATATGATAATTTTAATGAAAATTGTTATTCTAATATTATATGCCTAATATAATATATAGGGCGATTTGGGTGAGTATAATCAATGTCAAACGCAACTAAAGGAACTTTATAGGTTAAATATTCCAGGTCACGTTATGGAGTTTATGGCTTATCGACTCCTATACTTTCTATATACAAGAAATCGTTCCGGTAAATATTATATATAATGTTGCGTTTCAATTATATACGAGTATGTATTCATAAGTGTATATTCTCTTTATAAAAAATTAGATATAAATTCTTTAATAGCAGAATTAACAGATGAAATGAAAAGAGATGAATCAATAAAACACGCATTAGAGGTTAGATCCACTCTGGCTACTGCCAATTATCATAAGTTCTTTAAATTATTCCGTAAAGCACCTAATATGGGAGCTTATCTCATGGATCATTTCATTGAAAGAGAAAGAATAGCTGCTCTAACAGTATTATGCAAAGCGTACGTATATTAAGAAGTGATATTTACTATTTTATAGAGATTTACATTATTAAATATATTTTTTATTTTAGTTTCCGGCCTAATCTTGACCTCGAGTTTATAAGTTCTGAATTAGCTTTTAAAGATCATGATGAATGTAAAGAATTTCTTAGTACACATAATGCTTCTGCTTTCATAAATCCAAATAACACTTTAAACACTAAAGACGCTTACAAATATATTGAAGCAAGTGGCAAAAAGTTTGAGAAAGTTGATATCAAAGGACAAATTTGATGGATCGACTCTTTTTTTTTGTTGTCCATATTTAGGCGAATACAAAACACTCAATCTCTTACATTTGGGAAAGCTAACATATATCCGTGAGATTTCAGTCTTAATCAATTGGATTAGTCTATTTATATTTGTTATTTGCTTTTGATAACCGTTTGATTTATAGATTTTATTGTCTTATATAAACACACCTTAACATACACTATTTATGGCAAAATTTGGATTTGCCAGCTGAAAATAGATTCAATTTGGAAGTATCAAAAAAAAAAGAGAAAAGAAGATCTTAAATTCTTTTATTCACATACATTTTGTTTAATGACAATGAATATTGGTTGGATATTGGTTTTGTTTTTATATTTAGATGTGAATTAACACTAATTTTTAATGCAAAATGTAACAAGTGGAATTTTATTTGTATTTATAATAAAAAATTTAAATTAAAAAATTTTATAATAGATTTAAATGAAATAATTATATTAATTAAATCATTAATAATATATAATGATTAATAAATATAATAGTATTAATTATTTAATTAATCAAAATTTCTAATATTAATCATTAATTAAATTAAATTTTATTAAATAGAATATTTTTTTTATAAAATATCAAAAAATATATAAAATTTAATTTTAATAAAATAATTTCTGATAAATAAAAATTTGCTAAAATAAAATTAATAATTTTATAATAAATTTTCTTGAGAAAACTTATTTTAAGATTAAAATAATATTAATAATTATTAATTCTAAAATTTTAATTAAATATTTTTAATTAAATTAAATTAAATAACTAATTATTAAGTAAAGTTTTATTATTTATATCTAAATTTATAATTTTATAAATTATTTATTATTATTAATATTCTATTTATATAAGATTTGATTCATAAGTGTTTATATTAATAAATAATATATATTTAGATTTTTTTATTTAATTATAGTTTATATTATTACAATAAATTTTTAATTAAATTTTTATAATATATTTATAAATATTTTATTAAACTTTTTTAATGTATTAATATTCACAAATATTTTTTTAAAATATTGTAAACAGATAAACATGATACAGTATATATTTCTATCAAAAATCAAAATAAGGAAATAATATGTTTTTTATACAGTTTGTATACGTAATTGATGATTCTGTATCATAATTCCATATGTTTTATAATGATTTATTTTTTTATAATTTTTTAGAAAATTGATGTATATAGAATTATTAAGGAATTTGAAATAACATATAAATTTTACATAAAATAAAAAAATAAAAAATAACAATATTCAAACCAAAAAAAAATTTTTTATTTTACGTAAAATATTTTTTTCTTGTACTTTTAATATATAGATATCAAATTAAACTTTTGATATTCTAAAGATTTATTATATTATTTTTGTCCAATAGATTAACTTCCTTCATTATGTTTATTGATTTATAAACAAGATTTAACATGTTTTACAAATTTTTTATTTGATAATCGTAATCAATTAATAGATACTAATAGTTCTTTATTTATTTTGTGAAAGAAAATTTTTTATGTTGTTTAAAATGAATTTTTTTTTGAAATCTAATATACAGGAATTTAAAATAATATATAAATTTTACGTAAAATAAAAAAAATAACAAAAATAAAAATAACTAAAATAATAATATAATACATCCAATTGAATTTTTTAATGCAAGTAATATCAAAACTTTTTATATAAGATATGTAAGGAAAGAATAAGTGTAAAAGCAAAAGTATCACAATATACAAATAATTTAACATGAGAAAAATTCTTTGATAAACAGATTATGCAAACCAAAATTTTTTTTCTTGTACTTTGAATGTGCAGATATCAAATTAAGCTTGAATATTACATTTGTGATAATTCTAAGATTTTTTATTTTGATCATTATGTTTATTGATCTATAAATAAGATTTATTAGTAAAATGAGCGTGATCAGTCAACACCTTGAATTTTAATTGGTGACAGTTTTGTTAAACCCAATTTCACTGACACAAATAATTTTCAATACATTCTTGATGATAAGATATTTCCAATTGAAGAAACTTTCCTCTCTGTTGATGCAAAAGATTTGTTTTCCTTAAATTTACTTCTGAAATACAAAAAATTTTCTCACAAACATGCTGTTGATTCAAGATCCTTTAAATATCTTATATTTTCAGAATCCAAAATTTTCTAAACTTTAATAAAAAATGGTACGTGTCAACTCTCGCCAATCTAAAAACATTCATCAAAGAAGAAAATTACAAAGAAAAATAAGACATTGTAAAAAGAGGTATACCTATTCTAGTAGATATTAATTTATTTTATAGTAATATGTGATTTCAATATTTATGAGCGGCACGTTTACCATTTGACATGTATTTTCATGTAGTATAGGCAGCACGTCATAGTACTGACGTATATTTTCACTTTAGTTTTACATATTAGCAGTAATTCAGGTAAAGATAGTTCCTATATTTATTTTTAAAATTTTTAATTAGTTGCAACTTAAGTTGCAACACTTTAAGTTGTAACGTTTTATGAATTTCTATATTAAAATAAATTTACAAGGAGTTGCAACTTGGTTGCAACTTCTTAATTATGGTGTCCATCTTTAGCTATAGTCATACCTAGTTTTTATAACTAACTAGTTTGCTACCAAATCATCTATCCACTCAAACTTTTTTTTAGGTTTCAAAATCAAGTTGATTCTGAATTTGAGAAAATATTGGAAAAAATTGATAATCTTCCAGCTGATTATCCTCCTTTTTATCCAATTG